AGGATTATGACTACGAGATCCTTTACCATCCGGGTAAAGCGAACGTTGTGGCAGACGCCCTGAGCTGCAAGTTGGCTGGATCTTCTATTCCAGCGGCATGCATGAGGATATCAGTGGATTCTCCACTTGTGAGCTTGATCAGGGAAGCTCAAGCTAAGGGTGTACGACAGGAGAACTGGAAGCTGGAAAGAATTAGGGGCGAGATCACCAGATTCGTGCAGGATAGTTGGGGATTGCTGACCCGTTGTGGTCGGGTATGGGTTTCGATGTCTGGTGGTGTCAGACAGATTGTACTGGAGGAGGCTCATAAGTCTCGTTTCTCTATTCACCCGGGGGCCACCAAGATGTACCGGGATCTGAGTCTGAGTTACTGGTGGCCGTGCATGAAGCGAGAGATCGCTTGGTACGTCGAGAGGTGCTTGACCTGCAGGATGGTCAAGGCCGAGCACCAGAGGCCGCATGGCAAGCTGCATCCTATAGAGATTCCTATGTGGAAATGGGAGCAGATCACGATGGACTTCATCACAAAATTGCCGAGGACGACAAAGGGTTTCGACGCTATTTGGGTCATCGTGGATCGATTGACCAAGAGTGCCCATTTTCTGCCCATTCGGGAGAGCTCATCGGTCGAGAAGCTGGCTGATGTGTATATTCACGAGATCGTTGCTCGCCATGGAGTTCCGGTCTCTATCGTTTCAGACCGTGATGTTCGATTCACCTCCCGTTTTTGGCAGAAGTTCCACGAGGAACTGGACACGCGACTACATTTCAGTACAACTTATCATCCGCAGACGGATGACCAGAGCGACCGGACCATTCAGACCCTCGAGGATATGTTACGGGGCTGTGTTATTGACTTCGGTAGGAGCTGGGACTCATACCTACCCCTTGCAGAGTTCTCCTACAACAACAACTATCACTCCAGCATAGGTGCTCCGCCTTATGATATTTTGTATGGACAGAGATGTCGTACCCCTGTTTGTTGGGGCGAGGTTGGTTACAGGGTGATGGGTCGGATAGAGGTAGTCCTGCAGACTACCGAGATGATACAACAGAATAGGCAGCAGCTGCAGACTGCTCAGAGTCGGCAGAAGAGCTACGCCGACCGGCGCCAATCTGAGTTGGAGTTTCAGGTCAGTAACATGGTGCTACTGAAGGTCTCACCCTGGAAGGGTGTGATTTTCTTCAGGAAGAGGGGAAAGTTGGGTCCCCGATACATCGGGCCATTCAAGATTATTGTCAGGGTTGGCAAGGTGGCATATAGACTGGATCTCCCGGAGGAGCTTAGTCAGATTCATAGCACATTCCATGTTTCACAGTTGCGGAAGTGCGTATTGGATGAGGAGGCGATTGTATAATTGTATGATATTCAGGTCGACGAGCGCCTGGATTATGTAGAGAGACCAGTGGTTGTTTTGGAGAGGAAAGTGAAGGTCCTATGGAACAAGGAGATACCTTTGGTGAAGGTACAGTGGCAACATCGGAAGGGATCCGAGTGGACTTGGAAGCCAGAGGCAGAGATGCGGGAGCATTATCCGGAGTTGTTCCCCACAGCAGACTTCGAGGACGAAGTCTAGTTCAAGTGGACGAAGTCTAATTCGAGGATGAAGTGTACCTTAATTCCTCCCTCCAGCCTTCGTTACCACCTTCACATCCAGAAACAAACCCTAATCGAGCTAATCTTCTATTTTGAGTGTGTAAGGCTAAAAAGTGTGTCTTTGGTGCATTTCTTGAAGAGACTTGAAGATTGAGAAGCTTGGGACGAGAATGAGCTTGTAGATCCAGCATCTACATCGTTTTGGCATTCATTTTAAGGTAAAAAGTCATTACCTTGATCATGTTCTTGTTAGATCTCTCCATTTAAGAGTTTAGGGTCATTTCTAGCTTATTCTTGAGACATTTATGGTATTGAGCACGTTTTGAAGTGAGGAGTTCAGATCTGGACTCCTCTAGGCCCTCATGGACATAAAGTTCTCGACTTTATCGAGCTTTGACCCCTCGCCATGCCGCAGACCTCTTCCTAAGACTGGTTTTGGGTGTTTTAGCCTCTTGAAGCCTTGCATGCACGTAAAGTTGGAAACTTCACGTGGTAACTACACCCTAAGAGCCTAGATTTACAACTTGGAGCTTTGGTTTCGCTTAAAAGCGTTTGAATGAGAAAAGAGCCAAAGGAACTCGACTAGTTGCATAGCCAACTCGACGAGTTGGTTTTTTTCCGAACCTTTTGGACACTGCATGGACTCAACGAGTTGTTTGGTAACTCGACGATTTGACTCAGGTTTTCGTGGTTTTCTGAGTTCTGAAGGAACTCGACGAGTCTTTAAGCTGCACTCAACGAGTTGGGTCAACATGGATTGTTGACCTTGACCGTTGACTTTGAATTTGACCATGGTTGACGAAGTTTGACTTTAAGGGTATTTTGGTAATTTGGGTCTTGATGGAATTAGTCCTATGGTGGTTGTAGGTGTTTGAGTTTGGAGCTGTGATTCGGGAGCTTGATTCTTTCAGTTCAGTTGGACAATGTGAGGTGAGTTCTTCTTACTATATCAACAGGGTCTAAGGCACTAAGACCGACCCTTTTTGGATTATATCCTGGTTATAGGATGATGTTATGTTAGTGATCTGTTAGATCTGTATCCTGGTTATAGGATGATACTATGTTTAGTGATTTGTTAGATCGATATCCTGGTATATAGGATGATGCTATGCTTAGTGATCTGCTAGATTTGTATGATTATCTGTACATGCTAGCTAGCGTATGACATTATGTGTTATTATATGATTGGAGGTGGGTTGAGGCGGTCCTGCTTTGTGCTCTAGGACAACTTACCCAGGGCGGCCCGGATAGACTGCAGACCCATCAGGGCGTACTAGTCAGGCCGAAGGCCCGGAGAACGGTCCAGACAGGCTGAAGGCCCGATAGGGCGGACCAGACATGCTGAAGGTTCTGAGAGTGGGCCAGATAGACTGAAGGCCCGGTGAGGGCGGTCCAGTCATACTGTAGACTCTGTGAGTAGGCCAGATAGAATAAAGGCCCGGTGAGGGCGGTCCAGTCATACTGTAGACTCTATATGCATGTTGTTTGCTATGATATTGTTTTGATTGTATGACGTTGGTATTTTGGGGGAACTCACTAAGCTTCGGGCTTACAGTTGTTGATTTTGTTTCAGGTACTTCAGATGATCGCGGGAAAGCATACCTCCTCACGTTTTATGATTTTGATTTCTGGGATACTCTGATATGAAACTATTTTGAAAACATTTTGTAATAAATAATGGTTTTTGAATGCTTGAAAAAGTTTTAAATTGACTTGAATTTTATGGATGTTAAATTAGGCACCAAGCAGCCATAGACACTCCTTTTAGAAGCCCTTGGACGAAATCTATTGGGCCTCCCAACAGGATTTCGTCCATTCCATACCAAAGGAGTCCAGCAACCCAATTTTGCAACTATCAATGATTTGCAAAACAGCCCCTCCATTATTAATCTGTTCATTTAATCTCAAAATTAATATCAATTTAATTTTTGATTAATTACTAATTAATAATATGACTTCCAAATAATATATTAATCTTGTAATATATTAAAAAACTCATTTTGAGTACCAATTTATTATTTCAAATAATAAATCCTACTCTCTCTCCACTTGTCATCCTGTCAAGTTGGATGAGTGAAGCCAACCCAAAAGGACCATGCTACATATCAAATCAAGTACATACCACTTATAGTTATGAGCTTAGACACCTAATCCAACAGTGCCAGAGTTATACTGTTTGAAATTTCAGTCCTTAACCATTAGGTTCTCATCTCAAAGGGAAAGTCTTTGGTAACTCCCTACCCATACCCTAACCTGACCGCTACCACCCTGCAATTGAGCATGATCATAACTAAATTGAGCCTGATCATAACTTTAACTTAAGGGTTGTAGGTTTGCCCTATTATTTTTTTGAAAAGCGAATTCTATGCATACAATTATATTGCCGTATATTAAAATTATAAGATTAGCAATCATATAAAATACAAACTGTATTACGTAACAATGAAATAAAATGATATTTATATAAGCAGTCAAATAAAATGACATGTAAAATACAAATATAAGGATTTTTGAGATTGTTTATTCAAGCTTTTTATTAAATTATATCGGTTTGACATTGATACTAAACAAATTTTAGCATTTGGATAGCCAAAGATTATAAACATTTATTGGGTTACATAAGAAGTTTTTAATAAGTTGGTTTGTTCTATTTATTTAAAACTATTTATTATAATAGAAAACCTAATTAAATATGAAGGTTTACACAAGTTTATTAAAAAAATATGAATGTCTAAATATTTAAGAGTTTGAATTTATAAAGATAATGAAAAAAAATATTGAATTATTGAAATTAAAGTGTTTATTTTTTTTTTAAATTTAAACAACTAATTTAAATAAAAATAAACAAACGAAATAATTACACTTTAATTAATGAGTTTTCAAATTAAAAATAAAATTTAATTAAAAATAACTATAAAATCACATCTAATAAAATAAATAAGAATATGAAATGTGATAAAAAAAAAGATTGGAAAGCTAATTAGTTATTTATCATTATCTAACCTAATAATCCTTTTGATTATCAACGTCTTTGGGGTTTTTTTTCACAGTTTTTTCTTCATTCACAAAAAACAAGGGCTTGCATTAAATATGATAAGCCTTATAATAAGCAAAAGCAAATAAGTGTTTTAAATTTCCAATTCTCATGATGATGTGGTACTAAAAATTTTGGTAAAACTGTTAATCAGAATCTAGTAGGATTATACTGATTATTGGTTATTAATTTATTAATATTATTTTTCTATCATAAATGTTATTATAAATTCCAAAACACTCGTTAACTCTATAGTTTACTTTTACATAACCACTGTATATTACCCACCTTTATTTATGTCCAATTTAAAATTTGAATCTTTAAATAACCTTTTTTTTTCTCGTCCAGAGGAATTGTCATCGTTGCCAACTACGTCTGGGTTTCCTGGTACTCCTCCGCCGGAAAATTTGTCTTCGCCTTGTTTCCTCTATACTGAATGTTGGCGACATCGTAAGCTCTGGCAGCCTCTTCTGCAGTCTCGAAAGTCCCCAACCACTTCCGCTCTTTCGTCCCCGGAACCATTATCTCCGCCGCCCATTTCCTCGGCGGCCGGAGACGAACTCCTCTATAAACGTTCTTCATTTTCTTTCCTGTCTCTTCTCCACTACCGGCGGTAAACATCTGACACCCCAAACAAAGCTCTGGGATTCGCATTCCACATTCCCCACAGATTTCATGCTCCACCGGCAACGGCTGACTCTGAGAATTTCCGATTATATCGCTGCTCGGACTGGCGACGTTTCCGCCGAAAATGACATACTGGAGTGCTGAAACAATGGCGGAATTCTCGTCGTCGAAATTGATGGAGGAATTATCCATTTTTCATGACAAACGGGTAAAGTGGTGTCTTGGCGACGTTATATAATCGCGATTGCGGCGGATGAAGGTCGGAGCCCACGTGGTAATTTCGGTCAGCGCTGAGCGTAATAGTAGTGAGGTTTGATAACAATTAACAACGTAGAACATTCGTATTCTGTTTTTTTTTTAACTTTTGTTTTATAAATTATCACCCCTTCTTCTTTGAAGTTTTTATACTATCGGTTATTATAGAGTGTTAATTTTTAGATCTATTTTATTAGTAGTTGACTCAGTGGCAAATCTAGAACCAAAAACTACATGGGTCCTAATGTAAATGAATTGAAAAAAATATGAAAGAGTAAAAAGTTATGGTGGTGGTGGTGGTGGCGGCGGGTCGGGTCGGATCGGATTGTATGCCTTAAAATATTTAAACATCACTTCAATAGTTCTAATAAAGTTTTTACAAGTGAACCATATGAGGTCTTATATCTTGAAACATATTTATAATTTTGTCGTTATCGATATTTTTTAAAACATTTTTTCAATATACGATAGTAAACTATCACTTAAAAATTAATCACTCATTTTTTTTACGTATACAAGAAATCTAAGATTTTAAAGTTGTGAATTGATTATGGTCGATGGAGGGGATGAACGACAACAAATGGCGACCGGGCAAAGGCCTGGTCAGACAGTGATTGTCGAATGGAAGTCGGCAGGCTCAACAGTTTAAGGCTTGAAGCCGCATGGAACGAGAGTCATTGAATGACGTTTCTAATTTTTTTTTTAATTTTAGATGGATTGGGCTATATTTAAACATTAGGCTTTTTCTAAATGGTTATTAGGTATAAAAAATATGGGTTCATTGACATTCCTTTCTTAAAAAAAATTGATATTCCTTTCTTAAAAAACTTATTTGGTAGTTCCTTTAAAAATAATAAGATAGTTCTCATTTATTTTATATAAATACCTCTATTATAATTTTTAAAAAAAGGTAGGTCCTAGGACCTACCTTCCCTTAAACTGTATACGCCCCTGGTTGAACTTTTCTTAAACATGAAGTACTTCTATTATCATTCATGTAAATTTGAAATTATTTCTATTTATTATTGTTTTTGTAAAATTACGTGTAAGACCCGTATACTATACGAGTTTATTAAAAAAGTTAAAAATCAATGTATAAATATTAATCATTTTTTAAAATAAAATTTCGAAATAAATAGATATATTCAACTAATGAACCAATATGATCAAAAGAATCATTAACAAGAAGATCATCTGGAATATCAATAATTGTATTACCATCATTTAAACCACCAACATTACTTCTCATATATCTAATAGATAGTTTGCAAATGTTGTTGTTTCTGCAATATCAGATTTTGAATACTTAACCTCATGTTTTTCATTAATCTTATGATTTCGTATTTTGACGAGAAGTAGGAAGAACTTAATGAAACATTCACAATGTCCTCTTTACTTCCATTAAAAACTCGTATATTATATGGGTTGATTTAAAAAAATATTAAAAAGTAAGGATTAAACATTAACGAATTTTAGAGCGATATATTTCAATAGGATTTAACTGAAACAAGGAATTATTGCTTGTTTTTGAAAAACAAAAAGAAATTGTTGGAGCGTTAACCATACTTTCCAATACCTTCAACCAAATCACTCTATTTGGTTAGTAGTTAGAAATTTATATCACCAAGTTAGTAGAATTCGTCAACGTTTAGATTAAAACTTAGAACCTCCAACCTAAAATGCAAAGTCTCCACTAACTGGGCTAGTCCCATATTGACAACCAAAACACGCTATTAATCATGAAATAATAAATTAGTAAGTACTTTTAATTAAAACAAATCGGTGAAGCATCAACCATAGTTTGTAATAACTTAAACTAATTCATTCTATTAATCATAAAATTGCAAGTGGTAATTTCACTGCCCATATGATATTCATATGATGAAAACTGTGCTTACATATTTACATCAATTATGAAATGATCTATTTCCATTACAAAATTCACATAAATATTCAACTTTTTTACCTTATAAATGAAATTAACACTTATTGTGAAAATAAAAAGTAAATAATCACGTATTGGTTATTATCATTTATAATGTAGAAAAATTGAATATTTGTGTGAATTTAGTAATAGAAATAGATCATTTCATAACCGATGTAAATATGTAAACACGTATTGTGAAAATAAAAATTAAATGATCACATATCAATTATGAAATGATCTATTTCCATTACCAATATTATGAACCTAAGTTATAATATTTTAAGTGGTTTGCAACCATTGTACAATCATTAAAAAGTAAGGCAACATGTTGAGATTAAAACAGTTCTACAAACTTGTTTATAGGATCCTTCACACTTGAATAAACAGTCAAAAGGCTCGATCATTCATTTATTTGGCTGCGAAATTAATATAAATAATGTAGTCAACATTAATTATGTCTTATTTGGTAAAAGATCTACAGACAAAATAATTGTTTAGTATGTAACATTAGTAAACAAAAATGATATACATATGAATTTACACATATCATCGAGAGTACAACAATAATCATTGTGCGAATTTTTTTCATCTTATTTTTTCTAAGACTCTTTGTCAAAGAAACAAAATTTCAATTTTAACGAAAATTAATAATTGTTTTCTAAAATATAAACCTTAAAATAGTGATCTTATAAATACGAATTATAAACCAAAAAATACATCAAAATAAATTTTTTCTAATTTTGTTCAATAAATAGTTTCTTAACATGTAATATTAAAAAACACAAATGTATATAAATATGAATTTACATATATCATCGAGAATACAACAATAATCATTGTGTGAATTTTTTTATCTTATTTTTTCTAAGATTGTTTGCATTTATTATCACATTCAATGTATTTAATACATTACATATACTTTTCCTAAGATTATTTGCATTTATTATCACGATGTATTTAATACATTACATATATAAATATTAGTATTATGTACCATATTAATTTAATTTAATTTAGAAAAAAAAAAAGACAAAATGACATGTAGATTTAAATTTATTCAAAAAAACCATAAAATTACATTTAACAAATTTAATGAGATGATGACATTTTGTAACATCCGGTTTACCAGGTATATTGTTTTGAGTATTTAATTCAAGGATTTTGGAGGGACTCGACGAGTTGGTGCCTCAACTCGTCGAGTAGGGTCGTGACTTGGCGACGTGGTTAAAGAATGGACTCGACGAGTCGGAGAGATGACGCGCCGAGTCAGCGCTGTTGGCAGAAACCCTAATTCTCCCGGGCCTAGGCCTATTTAAAGGCACTTATAGCCTCCTTGACCCCCCCCCCCCCCCCCGACATTAGTATCATTCGTCACTTGAGAGAAACCCTAGAGTCATTGGTGAGCAAGAGAGGGAAAGGGACTCATTGGAGGTCATTCCTTGGGGAGAAGATCAAGGGTGTTACAAGGATCAAGAAGAGAGCTTGTGGATCTATTTCATCCCCATCTTCAGCTTCAGATCAAGGTATGAAGCCCTTACCTTTCCTGTTTTATTGAATAGATCCTTTGAGTATGAGAAATTAGGGCTCATATCACTTTTGGTGGGGTTTTGGGTGCATCAAACCCCCCTCTTCTGAGTATGCCATAGATCTGGATCTTGTATGATCCAGAGAGTCAGAAAGTAGGAAGCCATTGTTGTGCAAACATGAGGTTTTGAAGTTAGGAAGCTTTAATGAAGTCTAAATGGCATATAGAGCAAAATATGATATGCATGGATATCAAGGTCGGACCTTTATGTGACTTTTAGGTATTAGGAGGTCAGATCTATGAGTTAGAGTTACAGATCTGACCTCAGGTGGTTGAATGAGAAATCCGATGGAGCCAACTCGCCGAGTACATGGGATGAATCGATGAGTCGTAGCGGGTGTGACCTAGTAGCCTGGACCCAGTGTTAACTCATCGAGTTGGGAGTCAACTCAGTGAGCTGAGTGAACCCTAGGATGAACGTGGAGAATACGAGTGGACTCGGTGAGTCACAGGTGTGCACTCGGCGAGTCAGGTCAACCTTGACTGTTGACTCAGTCTGGTTTTCTGTTGACTTCCTGGGTGGGTCAATAAGAGGCAGGAACGGCCAAGGAGGGGTAAAATAGGCTTTTACCCATCCCGAGGGTAAGATAGGGGAAAAGAGGACTTAAGGAGTAAATGAGTAATAAAGTGGATAATGATTGAAATGCTTGTCTTATGTGTTAGGCGGAGGCTAGTCCAAGATTTCCGAGTGCTTGTCGGTTACCTGCTAGTCGAGGTGAGTCTTCTCACTATACTTTACCTAGAGTGGTAATTATGTGTGACCAAAGGGTCTTATGTGCTTGCTTGAGTTATGCATGATTGTGTGATATGTATTGTATGCTATATTATTTGTTGCTTTGACCGGACCGGAGGGTCCAACGAACTATGAGGCTAGAGGGTTCTCAATGAGACCGGACCAGAGGGTCCAACGAGCTAGACCGGACCAGAGGGTCCAACGAGCTACGGGACTGGAGGGTCCCGCTGAGACACATAGACCGGAGGGTCTTACAGAGTATAGCCTCGAGTGGCGAATTGTTGTATGTGGTATTTTGGGGAACTCACTAAGCTTCGTGCTTACCGTGTTATGTGTATTGTGTCTCAGGTTTCTCAGGATCGCGGAACGGCACCAGATTGATTGTACACACCAGAGGAAGAGTTATGTTTTGAGGATCCTGGATTTTAACCGAGCAATTATGAAGTTTTGAGTTGTAAACTTAATAAAAGAGATTTTTGTGAAAGACATTATGAGAATGATGTGATTTAAAATGATAAATTTGTTTTGAAAATTTACGGTGTTACACATTTGTTAAAAATGATCTTTATTTATTAGGGTAGATAATGTTGAAATGAGTAACTTCACAGTCGGCACAACCACAATATTGTTGAGATGGTAAGCCAAATATCTTAACGGGTGCTCGCTTGCACGACATGATTTTGTGCGACCCA